GGGGGGGCATATACAGGAGAAAATAGTTTAGATGCACACTCTATATATACAGATGATATACATAATCTGATGGATCGCTTCGATGTGACAGGGTACAAGGTATGGGTGGCGAGATCCTCGTGAACGGAAAGACGAGGACGGCCAACAGCCAGAGCTGGCGACGCACCTCCTGCTACATCCAGCAGTACTCGCTGCAACGCACCAAACTCACGGTCGGCGAGGCGATGACCCTCGCGGCCCATCTTAAGCTTGGCTCTAGCATCAGTTCCGGCATCAAGCACACGCAGGTTTGTTTTTTGTTTTTTTTTGTTTGTACGCTTCTACATCGGTACGTGAGTTGCATTCGGCCTTGGAACTACGATGACTTTAGCACTGCACTTTTCATCTCGAAATTGAGGACTTTAACGGCTTTATCGTAGATGCATGGAGTTTCACTGGTTTGACTTTGGGGCAATAATTAAAAATACTCGAGCCTTAATCGGTATTTTGTGTACGACATAGCGTATGTATATTACGCGAGGCCCCGCAGTTGCAGAGGCAGACAGTGATACAAACTGCCGATTCAAGAAATTTTTATCGGCCATGAATGCTTCGTGAGCGACAACAAATTTTAATTTCACCGCAAATCTTGCGAGGATAAGTACTGCCGTCGTTGGCCAATTCAAAATGCTCCGCTTGACGCAATTGTGAACCGTATGTACGTAATTAGACCGATTTCTCGCAAACTCTCGGAACAATTGAGAAATATGGCATGCGCGTGCGCGGCTCTGTTGCAACGGCCTGTTTACCATTTTTTTTTATCATCGAGGAAAAAAATATACTTAATGTTTAAGCTTCTTTTTTTTTTTTTTTCATTTTTCGTCTGATGGTTTTGAGGTTGAATTTTTATTGGGCCTTGGGTGCGTAGGTAAACGAGATTCTCCGGAAAAAAATCGTGAAATCCGAAACAATTTGCTTGGGAAATTATGACGTTTTGAAGCAAAAAGAATGAAATCGCCGTACGTATGAATAAAAGTGCAGTTACAAGATCACGAGCGTTCATTGAAGTTGATATACGCG